TTATTTTTTTAGGTAGCATCCACTAATATTTACACATTTTTGCCACCGCATTGACAGTCTTTTTATCCCTGCTTCATAAAAAGTAGCAGGACGAGTACGAAGTCAATTGCGCACAAAGTCTTCCACTTCATCGTCATTAAAAAATCTTACTCTCGCTAAGGGTTTTTTAAAAGGTCCAAACAAATCCATCATATATGAGAATGCACATCAAAAATGCGTCTCCTTCTATTGCATGGTGATCCAAAAGCCTTTGAGAGATTTCGGCCTTTATAGCCTTCCGATCTGCATTCGAAATTCGAGGCACCCATCGTGCAGTGATTTTTTGAAATCGTAACTCATTCTTAATAATTGTTTGCACACTTCCATAAGTATGCCATTATGCCAATCCCTTTACTAATTTTACGAACAATTATTCGTCGATTGTTTTCAATAAAGTCGCGAATTTGTTGAATGTTCTCATAGGCGTAATGCTCGTCCTTGGTCAACTCGCATAAATCTTTGCAACCTTTTCATGACCTTCACAAAAAAAACTTATGCCATTTGCATACTTAAGACTTCGATAATGTATTTTTACCGAACTGTACATGTAATCTGCATAATATTTTAGCCGATTTGACATGTTCGTGCATTAAAAATTTAATTATGCGTTGCGCAACCGAGACAGGCATTTTCTGTTCACTCATCGTGCTTACTATTAAACAAACGATTGTAGACACAAACGCGCAGCTTAGAGCTGGTCTAAACACGTCTACTAACCGCCCAATATTGTCACAACAACGAGCAAAGTATCCTGCTCCTATTCAAAAAGTCTCGTTCATATTTGATCGACCTACGTATATAATAAGTATTATTTGATAAAAAATATTTTAATATATGAAATATTTTAAAATTAGTATGACTATTTTTACGAAAATAAAAAGATGATCATTGCAGAAATAAAAAAACGAGTTTAGCAAATGAGCAAACAAATTAATCAAAATAATAGATAAATTTATGAATTTTATATTGGATGATTGCATAAGTTCGTGCCCGATTTTCATAGATCACATTCGCTCCGTTGTCGTTCAACATATTCCCGGGCTGTTCTTTTTTTCGTGTGTGTATGTGAGTGTGTATAAAGTTGTTTATCCTTCGCTGCTTTTTTACAATTTTTATTTGTAAAAATAAGATTAATTACAATCAGCAGAATTAACTTAATTGCACTACATTGTGTACGGCACTCTCGATGTTAATCACACATGGCATTTTATTAATACTAGTTGAGTTTTTGCAGGTCTTATTGTTAGTTTGATAAGCTTCTCCGGCAATCTTACCGCTGCTACTAATTTTAGAGAGAAAATTTTAGAGAAAAAACAAGTTTGATATTTGAAAATTATGAGTCTAAATTTTCTTGTTAACATAAAGCAAATATCACTTTTATTATTAACATATAATATATATGCTCGCATTTTTTGACAGCGATTTTATTATTTTGTGATATAATATATATAAGTAAATAAATATACAAATTAATTAAAGATGCATGGATTGCAATATTCGCAAATATATTAGGTGTACAAATAAGTTTCCGCCGTTTGACAAAAGTTGGCGCCACCAGTAAGTTATGGTTAAGCATATATTTTAATAATTTATTAAATGATTTATGTATATCACGGAGCTTATCGTTATGTTAATTAATCAAGTCTGCGATCATTTTACTGTAGTCAATTCGAATTATTTACATTATTGTCGAGAAGTTGAATGATAAGACATCGGATGTAAAATATATTTGATCCTAACAATAAATATCATTAGAGAAAAAATTATTCCCCGCACAAAATTATTGTGTAAAAATTGCAATGAAAAGGTAATTTATAATTTTAATTCCTGTTATTTGTTAACTTGGATTTTTATTTGATTAAATATTAAATAAACAAGTTATGCAAAATACGCGCTTCGAGAACTATCATCGCGATATAGTTAGATATAGACAATATCACGTATATCATCAATGGTTTAAAATATAATGTCAATATAAAACGTACATTTTTAATGCACATTTGTTAATAAAATTTAATAATAAGTTCGCGCACCAATATCTGTATCTTGGCTCTTATCTGCCAGTTTTTCCACTTAATTGTTAGTACTCTGAGCTTATTGCTGTTATTATTCAATCTATGTATATTTGTAAATCTAACTATATATTAGGTGTACAAATAAGTTTCCGCCGTTTTTTATCAAATAATGTTCCAGTTAGTATATATTATTGCCTGCACGCGCGTAAAAATCGCAATAAAAAGATAATTTATAATTTTAATTCCTGTTATTTGTTGACTTTGATTCTTTGATGTCTCTAAAGGACGTCTAAAAAGATTTAAAGACATCTTAACATCGTTCAGACATCATTAAAATATCTTTTGGCTTTCTTGTGTTATTTGTAACTATATAGGGTAAGTCATAAGTATGTTTTAAAACTTTGTGAGCGTGTTCCTGGATAAAAAATATGAACAAATGTTGGCCAAAAATGCTTCGTTATTGATATAATAAACTAAAGATCTTGCTAAAACTGCATAAAAGGTAACACACCTCTAATTTTATCGCCACTTAAATATGTTGTAGGGGAGATTCTTCTGAGTAATTTCCCGCAAGAAATTTGTGGAGGACGGTATTGGTTTAAGAGATATAACAAATTAAAGTTTCATAGATTTAATGCTTTTTCTATTATAAAATAAAGAAAAATAAAGTTTGTTTACGCTGTATCTGCGTATAGCAGACGTAGAAAAAGTGTTTGTTTACATTTACGGCATAGGTATACACTCATGGATACTTTGTCAATAATATGTTTCACCTATTTCTCGCAGTCTGTTAACAGCTTTCAACGCATAACTAATCTTTCCTACAACATATTTAAGTGACGATAAAGTCGATTACTTTTATGTAGTTTTATTAAGATCTTAACCAGTATTGGAAAATAATTCGCTATATGTATAGTTATTATAATTAATGATTAATTGTCTTTCATAAACGACACACAACTGTATCGCGACGATCGGTCTTTAGTCTTGATCAAAGTGCGTATTCCATGTGCAATCATTTACTATCTCAAATAAAAATTGTCTTATAAAATTATGAAAATAATTTCGTTACAATTCTCTACAATAATTTATTTATCTAAGAATGCTTAAAATTAAATATATTTTGTTGTCGACGTTTTTTAAGAAATAATAAAATTACTGTCCTAAAATGCGAGCATAAGTTAATCATTACAAATTTGCTATATCAGTTTTTTATTAGTTTAATCTCTCGATTTTACAATTCGTATTCATTGTGCATATAATA